TTAATCAGTATTTTATTCCTGTTTGCCGCAGTAGTCGGTACAAATGGGATAAACCATTCGGGGTGGATAAAAGCTCTTTCGCGTTGAAGTTGAAGGAATTAAGCGTATCAGGCGGAAGTGGAAAGGGCTGAAGGAAAAAGAAGAAAATGGAAGAAAACGGATACACAGTGGGTAGATACGAGTAGAACACGGTCTTTGTCGACCCGACGAAAACGAGAGCGAGTCTCGTGACTCGCACGCGAATCTCGGACGGGGCAGCTTTGGAGTTTCGATTCGAACATTCGGTTCGCGAAGATTGCCAGACAGGGTGAGCGTGCTGACGCAACTCCGGGGGAGGAAGCGGTAAGACGGAAAAATGTGACCGGGTTGACGAATGAGCCCGATGAATGGAGCATGAATGCCCGGACGACAATTCGTCGGACGACAAAACGCTGTCCTTCGAGAACGACGTGCATCTTTCGATGAAGAATATAGCAGCCAGAACGGGGGGATGGTGGAGAGAACGTTGCCGAGAACGGAGACGTGTTGCGAATGTTTAGAGCCGGCGATTCCGCGCACGGTTAATGGAGGGCCGCCGTTCTTTACGCGAACTTTCGGCGCACTCAGGCGCGCTTGCCTTTTTACGGACAACTGTGAGGGAGGTCGGAAATATATCCGCGAAGGAAAGCTGTGCAGAGCGAATTGCAGCTTGAGACGAAGTGCGCGTTAAAAGGAGACGAGGTCCGAGAGGGAAATTGGCGCGGTACGTTCTTATTCCACGCGTATTAAGTTACACGGCGTTACACAGCGTCGTTTCTATTTGAAGAAATGAAAAGAAATGCAGTTTTTCCGTTCCACCTTTCTCTCTCTCTCCTTCTCCGTCCCCTTCGGGAGCGCGTCTCCTTAAGGCAAATACCAGAATTGACGAAATTAGTCCAAAGTGGATTAATTAAGTCGCCCCGACCGCGGCTATATTTACTTGCTAAAGCCAACACAGCTTGACCCATTCACTTTCTTCGTCGCAACTCAATCTGGACAGCTGACAGCTAACTAATTGACAGCACAGATTGTTTAAGTCGGAATGCAGCCTCAGGCAAGCGGGGAATGATCAGTTAAGCGAACAGAAATAAATGTTACACGGCAAGCGCGCTGAAACACCGAGTTCCATTATTCTGACCACTTTCGCTTCTGCTCTCGGTTCTGCTTGAGTTTCGTTTTAAGCCGCTATAATTCAACAATCTTACGGGACAGGAACTATACGATGCAATTGGGTCGCGCTACGCGCGAGATTCTTTCATTGTCAGTCAACATAAGCCTGAGCTAACTCGCAAAGATCTGGCATTAAATGTCGTGACTGCAGGACTCGAGAAATCCCGACAAACTGGCTTTAAATGCGTAAATTAAAATTGCTATCGCGCGCTCGGCATTCTGTTCGATAAAGAAATGCAAATTTTGATTTTATTTCGAGATTTTATTTGCTTTGTAATACTTATAACGTAATACTTCTTCATCGGGTAATAAATTAAATTACGCTTCTCTTGATAACGTATCATCGTGATTGCTGTAAATTTAATCAGGATCCGACTTTAATTAAATATCATCCGTGGAAATAAAATCTCTAGGCTTCTCAGGTATTCGCTGTAAATCGAATTGTATCGTCATCTGAGCACCTTGATGAGGAACTCATTTATTTCCGAAAACGATATTGCGTTCAGGTGCGGCGGCATCTCTTTAATCGTGATAAAATTTAGCGAGAGATATACACAGCGGGTCCCAAAAAGCGTCGTAATCGCATTGGTTTGATCTATTCAGTGATTGCATCATGAGCAAAGTGGGACAAAAGTTTTCTTCTTCTCCTTCTGCTTCCTCTTCCTCTTCCGCTTTTCGAGGAAACCTTCCTTACTTGCGCGTAGGTGCGGGAACTACAGCCGGAGAGAAGGAATGCGCAAGAACGTAACGACCGAGGAAGAATCTAAAGTAAATCTCGCGTCCTCCATTTCAACTGACTTCGCGAGGCGTATAGAATCTTCATTTCATTTGCGACAAGAATTTCGACGAGCAATAATAATCGGGATCAGCGAATGCCCGACTCCCGTCGTCAGTTTCTCGATTTTAATAAGCCTCCTAAGATTTAGCGACTTTAATGGAATTGTCATAATCATCGTCCCGCTCGAGGAGATGAACGAATCAGATTGGTTTATCGCCGCAACTTATGCTGCCACTCACCGCTTCAAGTCAGAAGGGTCCTGTCGAAAGTGTCTCGAAGTACATTAAAACCGGGATACGTTCAATGGGAAAATGTCACGAAAACGTTTTGGAAGTCTGTTCACGTAAAACGAGACGTAAAATCTTGGATTCGAAAAATCTGAAGAACACCTTAAGGTACACTCGCGTAAATTGAAACATAAAATTCTAGATGTACCCGAGTGAAAAAAAAGAAAAAAAGGGAAAGATTTCTTTTGCAAGGCAAGGAGTTCATGTATTTCGCTTGCACTTGTTACACAATTTACGACGTTGTCCGTCGTCTTCCCGATTCCGCAATTCGGTTGAGATGTCGAAACAAACTTGTCTCAGAAGTCTCAGAGAGAGTGAGAGAGAGAGAGACAGAGAATTAGATTCGAGAATCCGTAAAATCAAGTGTCGCATGTCCTTCGCGGGTGAATAGGACTTGGCTGTGACTAGCAACGGTCGGCCGACCTGGTAAGGCAGCCCGAACAAATACCGGCGGACTTGTAAGAGAGGACCTTAAGGTCCGTACATCCCAACGAAGCAGAGAATGCACTGCCGACGAAGTCGAGCACTCCATGTTCTCCGGTCACCCTGTAACCTCCTTCTCTCCGGCTTTCAAGGCAAGAATCTGTTTTCGCGTGGTCTTCTTACGAGTCTATCTCGTACGAAGACTTTTCTCTCGGATTTATTACCTTCATTCGAGAAGTTTTTGAAACTTTCGACAATTCTCGCCCGCGTCTTTAGATGCCTACTTCTCCCGGAGGACCACTTACGCTTCCCGCGAGTACGCCCGGGTTAAATTATCCAGTCCCTTCTTAAGGAGGTCGCGGGATTTTATGTAGTTATAAATGCGAAACGCGATTGGTTTCGACCGCGACTGTTAATTTCACGCGCGATCGGATTGCAGGTGCATTCTTCTCGCGACAACAGTCTCGGAAGCTGTGTTGCATTAAATGAAGTATTTCCGTGCTGATCCTGGCTTACCCCCAGTTTAACATAAAGGCACGCGTATACGACGGGCAGATGCATTATTCATACAAGAATATCTTCGCCGACAACAAGCAAGAAAACGTAAACGCTTCGTGATCCTTTTATCTCCCGGCATTTTGCACCCATAAAATCAGCGTTTAATCCCGATTATATGTCCTCATATATAGTGCCAATATTACCTAGATTCTCGATTAAGCGAACGCCACATTTGTTAATCATTTTTCGAGAATATTTTGCATATTTTCCCGACAAATTCCTCTATTCCCATCCTGAGATGTAATTTTTTTTGTCCGCGTTTTGATTGAATAATACGCAAAAATGTATGGACAGCGGAAATTTGAAAAAAGTGAAACAAGTCAAGGAATTCTCCGCCTCATCACACTTTTTTCCAGTAATAAGCGAAATTCCTTAAAACGGTCGTAGGACAATTTCGGTTGAAGCCGCGAAAAAATATGCGATATATATGTATGCAATTTCTACTCAAGCCATTCATCGATCCGTTAACTCGATATATATAATAAATGTATATTTTATGTTGTGTCTATGATATTGCGCGAGGTAACAGGCAAAGACTTTCTTGATTCTGCGTTTCGTACCCTCCCACGTATCATTTTAAATAACCGCATTATACGTACGCGTACTCGCGGGTATCATGGGGTCGATGTCATTGAGCTCTTATACATTTTTCACATTCATGGTAAAACGTGTTGGAAATTTCGAGCAGCGCGGGATCGGAATTTATTTTATTACAGAAAGATCGAGGATTGCACTCACCGCGGGAACCGTTGAGCTTAAGGTTTCAGGTCTCCTGATCCTTATTTCATGATTCCCGTGAATCAAATTTTTCGTATAAATCGGATCTGTTTGCTTATTTATATATTTAGCTATTATTTATTATTTGTGAGTCGATCCCGAGCATCTCAAAAACATATGCAATTTATATGCGAGAAAATAATAAGATCGTATTATATTTAGCATAATTATCATAGTGTATAAAATAAAAAGAAATAACAATAACAATAAAAATACGTTTAAGATCGCAATAATTACATATGATTTTAAAACAATCGAGATATAATTATGAAGCTGAATATCTTGAAACGTTTAAGGAACTTATAATGTGTCAGGCAGCCTGTTCTACCAACTGCAACAGGCCGCAACTATAATTTGAAAGATTATGCGAATATCTTAATTCATTCCGACATTTCCGCCGAGAAACGAGAGATCTCGAATTCTAAACTCTCAGGAAGTAAAGATTAAGGGATACATTTGACAGTCAGAACAGATTAAACCCCCAGCCACTTAACCGTGAAACACCTGCGCGCAGCAGAAAACTTATTAATATAATCCATAAAGTATGCATAGGACGCTCAAGTATTCATAGTGCATGTCGCAGTCATTACTAACTTTTGCGTTTCATGAACAGCATTATATCTTAAGGAGCCGCCAGGGTGTAGTACGCGAACTGGCTGTCGCCTCGCCTTAGTCTCTATCTGAAGAAACCGGCTCTATCGGCTCGTTTAAGAACGCCGGAGCAAATCCTCTCGCTTCCTTCGCGCAAGAGGGAAAGTTGACTGAGAACGGCCGCGGTAATCCGGCCGAAAATTGCCTGGATCGCGAGAAAATATGCTACGTTCGATATCCGGGCGGCTTCGCCTATGTGCGAGGCGGGCGCTGGAATTTATCGGGCGATCGCGTGGACCGATCCGAGGAAGGCGAAGGAGCCGGCCACGCGATTCGTAGATTCAAATGAAACAAGCGACGGGGAGGGAGGATTTTCTATTCGCGTTTATTTCACTCACCCGAAAGGCGTCTCGCAATTCCTGCTCCTCCTGATCCTGATCCGACGGCGCCGCCGTGCTCGCACCGATGTTGCTGACGATCTCGACGAATTCCTCGAAGCTGACGTTTCCGTCACCTGAGGAAAAATCGCAAGACACAAATGAAGCTGAATCGCAATATATACGAACAAGTAGGTAATTGAGTTGTCGGATAAGTTAAATTGTGATGAAGATCTTGTACGTGATTTATCTCATAGAGACTTCGGAATAATGCGACAAGTTTCCCAAGGCAACGAAACTGAACAGCGATAGCTTCTAATTATTTTTATGTAAGATTCTTCAAGACGAATGAGGTAATATTGCAGTCGTGCACAATAAAAATGACAATAATAAATCCGGCAATCCTTTTAATTAAATGCGATTTAATTGTGCATGTAGAATAGAGAAAGACTTGATCGCAGAAAGGGAGAAAATTCTCATCGTCATTTAAATGCAGGGTCAACACTCCTGAGCTCTCAGGGGGGCTGGTAAAAAGGGCCTTCTGATTAAAGAAATTAATTCATTCTTAATCTAGACATTGAGTCTTTCCTCTAACTTCTTTCAGTTCCTTCTTCAGCGAACCAAGCAGTTGAGTAAAAGATACAGCTGACCGTCTTGTAGCTTTTTATGTTGGGAGGTCTCGCTAAATACAGCCATCGGGGTGCGCTACACGTCTATCGGGCAATTTACGTTCGATCCGAACGCGAGAAATCTTTCTCGCATTCCGGTAAAGCAGGTTCCTCCACGTCAATGCTTTCGCTGAACCCCTTTGTCGCGCTATACACGTAATAAGAGGGAAGTACACGGCAATATTCGCACAAAGGCGTAAGGGCGCGGGCGTGGAAGGGTCACGGGAGCGAACGAACTTTACACCTCGCGATCCGGAGTAATGTCCTTGGATGCGGAGCTCCCTGCGCGAAAAAGAACCGCGGCATCTTGCGCGTCACTTTTACGGGAGTTTTTAGCCAAGCTGAATTCTCAGCTGTCGCGCTCTGCTTCGTGCGAACGCCTAATTACGATTTCCCGCGGGCGCAGCACTTCCCATTAATTCATGGGCTCGCCTCAAAAAGGACCGTCGTAATTCTTTCATTTACAATGACGGCCAGCAGTTTTAGTATTCACTAAAACTGCTGCCTCATCATAATCTTAATATCCTTAAAAACAACTTAATGTATCGACATTAACTATGTCGGAACAGTAGGCCATAAAAATAAAAATGAAAATACAAATGCTCTTGGTACAGAGTAGAAAGTATACACGGGAAAAAAAAGTTGCTTCAATTAAACGTCGACGTCACGGACTGCCAAAAACATAAATAGTTAATTCAATTGGATATTATTGGACCAAATATTTAAATTAATGAAACAATTATCTGATGTTTTTTGTTAATTAATAATATTGATGTTGCATCAATAGGTTTTATCTCAATTACACTAATACTGTTCATACAACATCATTTTTTTTCTGTGAGCAAAAATACATTTTACAATTTGTAAATGCAAATGATTTGTTTTATCACGTACCTATCATCAACATAAGAACAGACATTCATTTCCAAATGTATGAAAAATTGATAATATACATACTTATTCATGGCGTTATAAATGCTTTCCCACCTAAAGATAACCGCGTTCAAGTCAAATAATAAACAGCTATTATTGGACTCACAAACAGACGCGGCTATTTTCAAGTGGAAAGGTATTTATAACGCTATGTTTAATATAGTCTGTACATTTTGTTCATATTTTTTTAAAACATTTTCGTAATTTTCCATTTTACAAGTATTTACCTAACCGAAATAAACGAGAACAAAAACATCCGCGTGGATATTTATGTAAATATGTAGGTGTATTTTTGTCCTATTTCACCCAATGTTTTCCATTCCGCTACATTAACGCGGGCGAGACAAAAATTCGCGAGCTCGTAAACAAGTGATCGGGAAGCGACATGTGTCGATCGTTGCGAAGAAAGGAGGATCAGGTTGACGTTCGGTAATATCTGGAGGAAATAAATCACAATCGAACGGCGAAACACATTTATCGGGGCGTCGAAGGCCGCATCCGTTCGAACGATTCGACGGCGGGCGCCGTCCAATTTGCATAATTCGACCACCGCTTAAATAAACGCGGTGTTGTTCGTGCGATGTACACAGTTTACAATCCGTCCGTCAGCCATCTCCCTAAACGAGCTAATTCCCGCGCAGCTGCAGAGACCGATCCGCGTTGGACCCGCAGTATGGTGATGAAGTCACGTATTATACAACACGTAATTACAATTCTACATTGTACACCGTCTGACCGAAAGACAGGCCGAAATTTAGAGACGTCGACACGCTATTGCAGTAAAAAAGTCATTTCGCGTGTTGTTATCCCTTACAGTATGATATAATTTTAACAGGTTAAAATGCTTGGTGCTCTTTACAGGAAAAGGGAAGAGAGTGCTTTTATTTTACTGGAATTTCTCTTATTCCGCGAGTGCTTAATGGCACTGATATAAATAGCACCTTCCTTTAACTAAAAATTTCACGAGATGATGTAGGATGCGGTTAATCCATTAATGTTCAGAGAGAGAAAAAAAACGGCCTCGTAATAGTACTATTTTTGAAACAGTGAACTTTAATAAGTTAACGAATTTTACTGAGTCTCATTTTTTTGTCACCTTGCCTTCTGAAACTCTTTAATTCCCCAGACTGAAATTTAATTACAAAATATCCTCGCTATTACAGCAAACAAAGAAATGTATTCAACATCGAAGAGCGCAAACAAAAGTCATAAATTTGAAATTAAACGCTTACGACATTGTAAATGTGTTTCAGTCCGTATCGAAGATCTTAGGTGCTATACTTTCATGTCTTTCTTCCGCTTTGAATTTCTGCTTTGTAGTTCTGCAAAGTTACTGTTACCGAATGCAATTCCATCCTACGTTGCGTACTATATCTTCTATGTCCTAACAATGTTATATTCTATCCTGTAGATAAGTTCTTATCAGGCTTCCCTGGGACAGTAACATTTGATTCGAAGGAAATATAAGATATACAGAAGTAAAAGACGAAATTTCCATTCTACAAAGATTCGTGTACTCGTGTGGGTAAACTTCATTCTACTCATTACACAATGACACTGACTGATCGCTTTCAAATTTATAATAATTGCAATAAAACAATCTCTCAGACGACTAATATCTTTCCCTCTGACTTTTCATCCATCTGTTGATTGATCGCGTTTCTGATTTTTATTCCAAATGATTACATCCCAGATCGTTCTATTCCAGAACAGGAAAAACGCAACGTAGATATTCAACCCCATCAACCTCCTTGTACATTGAATCCGTTATTGACATATTTCTAGGAGGGCTTAACTTTTCAAATCTTCCTTACATATGATTTTGACAATTGGAAAACGTGCGCTCGTTTCGCTCTTATTCCCCTGAAAATGTAGCGTACGGAAATGTGTCGGAAGTGAAGAAAATATGCGCGTGCATCGGACAGCCTTCCTCGCGACGAAATCTTTCGAATAAAATCTATAATCGAAAGCGATCGCGCGTCTCGGCGCCCCTTTTATTGAGGCCCGTCGAGATGAGGAAGCGTGCGCGCGCGCTTTTAAAATCCCCGAGTTGTCATTTGCAGCGCGCTCGCGCACCCTCAGGACTTCCGGCTGCAGCCGTCGTCGTAGGCTAAGCGCCAGCCTAAGCGGATTTTAGCCGGATAACCGCCGGTGTAGATAATCCCATGAAGGGGTAGCATTCTCGGATGCAGTGCTTTGGGAATTCCACGGCGCGTATATATACATACACATGCGCACACGTTGACTTTTGCAGCAACTTCCCGTTGCAGCATCCTGTGCTGCATGCAACGGCACGCACGCAGATCCGCGCGTGCGGAAACGCCGGTGTTCGCGCGGGACCAGTTCACGCGCGAGCTCGCACGTTTACACGGCCGCGCCGAGCGTGTAAACGCGGGCTTATACGTGATAACGATACGTGCCCATTTCCGCGAAGAATGAGGACATAAAGTGTATTACAACGTCGGCAAACAGTAAAGTATAATGTTATGCCGCGCTTGCAAATTCGCCGGCAATAACATCCTACCGGAGCGAAATGAAGTACGTATCCTTTCGCTCGTCGATACCCAAGACACTTTACGATGTGTGTCGAATCACCTGACTGTTTCGCGTACGTGACTATTTGGCTTTCCCGTTCTTTTACCGCTTCGTTGCGTTGTTTTATTTATGCTAAGTGAGCTGACATCTTCATTTGCGTAACAAAATAAACGTTCCCAGCAAATGTTATAACATTTTGAAGTCATAGAGTCATCTAAGATCTTAAAATTTGTCTTGTACTCCTCTTGTTAACGCGTCTCTGAAAAGCTTCACCTTAATTATGTCGTGACACTAAATGAATAATAAAAGATATCAAAGTCAGGTATAATATAGCCAGATTTTAATAATAGCGAGCATAGTTAATAGCAAACATCTTTATAGACTAATTAGACTACCAGGTTGACGTCTTAAAACATTTTTGAGACATTTTTTAAATATTCGTGTTTTCTGGGTTCAGCCTTCAGCAAAGATCATAAATTGTGCTAAATAATTCTCGTGACAACGTTTCAAAAATTATCATTAGAATCAACAGATCTTTCCAGATCAAAAGAGCAATTTTAATTACACCACTTTACTCGCGCAACTTTATCTTTCAAATTTTGTTATTAATTAAGGCAATGTCTTGCTGCGGAAAGTTTGAAAGATCCCGTAATTAGATCTGCCGGTGTTACATTAGCAGCGCACTTTAGATTCTCGAAAGTTAAGACTACGATTATCTAAAACGAGAGTAGGCCGGCGACTTAATCGAGAGATTATTCTGCCCACACAGAATCTCGCGTAGAATCAATCAATATGCGATTATACGATCATCGATCTGCCCTACATAATTCCCAAGTCTCCGTTTCCAGGTAACCCATGAACTGGACGCGCGTGTGTGTGTGGATGCCGTCGTGGATGACAGTCACACGTATACGTAACGTACGAGCACACATCCAACGCGCCCGTGTGTATAGCCCGGGGGGTATTTTCTGATAGCGCGGGGTCGCGTGTATTATACCATG